GGCTGCCATCTACAATAGCAGGAGGAGGATGCTAGACGAGGGGGTTCTCTGCGACTGTGGGGCCTATTTTCGCTCCTCCCTCGTGTCACGAATCCGGGCAGAGTTCCTCTGGGAGGCGTCCACTGGGTCCAGTGTCCCTCCCATAAGGTTGGGGAGGGGCTCCGCCCGCCCACCATCCCATGATTTCAAATAGGGCTAACACATGTACTGCCCAGTGCGGGGAGGAATGTGCGTCGCTTCTGCTTATCGGCCAGTCACTGCACTGCTACATCCACAATCCACACCAGGGGATTTGGCCATGTTTGGTAACAGCGAGTAGTCCTGTGGCACGGTAGAGATTAACAAACGTATCGTATCAGGAGCTTCTGTGGGCAAAACCCTGCCGTTCAAGGCACAGTCTGGGACATTGTGTGGATTTAAATTTGATGAGCTCTGTTTTCAGTGGGAAGTCAGAATGGAGCTAGAGATTGTGATAACTCTCTTTGCTTCCCCAAGTGTTGCAGATCAACAAGGATGATGTGACTGCCCTTCACTGCAAAGTGGTGTGTCTCATTCAGAATGGAAGCTTCAAGGAAGCCCTGGGTGTAATCCACACCCACACCAAAGTGTTAACTAGGTGAGTGGTAGCTCCAGAGGCTCCCGCAAGGGAAGTATGTGCAAGCCCTGAAAAGCTAATACAGTAGACTTCTGATAATCCGGCACCTTTGGGACTTAGGTAGTGCTGGATGATCAGAAATGCCAGACTATCAGGAGGTACTCTGGCGGGGGCAGGCCTCGTCGGAGGGGAACAGCGCCGCAAGGGCCGAACCCTCCGCCATTTTAGAAGAAGGCAAAGCCTGCGAGCCGGGGAAGCAGAAAGGGGGCGAGAGGCAGGCAGCCGCTTCAAGACGTTCTAGTCAATTACACTGCCGGTGGCTGGATCCATAGGCAACAGGCTCTCAATCTACCTTTCCTCTCTACTGCCTGGAGGAGGGAGGGGAGGGGTCTGCGTGTGTGTGTGTGTAGGTGTGTAGATTGAGAGCCTGTCAGCTGTGGATCCAGCCTGGGGCATTGTAATTGACTAGAACTTCCTGAACACAGCTGCCTGCCTCTTGCCCCCTCTCTGGTTCTGCCCCTTGCAGGCTTTGCCTCCCTGCAACAGGAGGGAGGGTTCGGCACCCCCCCGCCCGCTGACCCCTTACCCCAAGCAGTAGAGAGAAAAGGTAGATTGAGAGCCTGTGGACTGTGGATCCAGCCTGGGGCAGTGTAATTGACTAAAACTTCCAGCAGCAGCTGCTTGTCTCTTGCCCCCTCTCCACCTCCCTGCAACATGACAGAGTTCAGTGCCCCTGCCCCCGCTGACCTCTGTCCCCTCCTCCTCCCTCTCTCCTTCCTCTCCTGCCCCCCAGAGGCAACAGAGCAAAGATAAATTGCAAGTCTGTTGCCTGCAGATCCAGCCACAGTTAGTGTAATTGACTAACAACTTGACCCAGCTGCCGGAGCACTTCCGGGTTGCAGCTGGTGCTGGACCATGAAGCATGCCAGACCACTGGATGCTGGACCACTGGAGTTTTACTGTATCCTAGATAGGAGGGTGGTGCTGGTAGACAGTGACTTTGCTACAGATTTCCCTGTTTTGCATGCTTCACTTTAGGCTTGGTCTGCATGGGTCAGTGTAAGGCAGCTTATGCCAAGCTGACCCTGTCACTGCACACAGTACAGCCTTGCTCCCACTGATGTAAGTGCCCTACTACACTAACATAACTCCTCCTCCTCCACATGAGGTGTAGGACTTCTCAGTGTTGCTAGGGTGACGTGGCAGCTGTGCAGAGGTGGTGCTGTTGGCTGTCATCCAGCAGAGCTGTGAAATGATAAAGCTAGCTCCTGGCTCCCCCGTGTGGCTGCTGCCAGGTCTGTACCAAGCTGGGCTGCAGCCTGGGCTCCCAGTTTCCCTTTGGGAACCCTGCTATTCCCCCCTCCCCCCCATCCAGAGTCAACATATGACTGGGAGCATGGAGGTGAGAATCACTGGGGGGGCATCGGGGCTTCCAGTGGGCAGCTGAGTGGAGATGAGTGCCTGAGCCATCAGCCCTTGACACTGTCCTTCACAATTGGGTGGAAGTGCTCCTGGTGACACACGTCACCGACAAGAGGTGGGACATCACCCACTGCTGTGTTGTGGTGGCAGTAACACAACCTAACACAGGTCGAGGGAAGATTGTAGTGTAGACCTGCCCTTCCTCTCATAAGCGCTCCTGCTCAAGGCAATGGAACTGCTCATGCCAATAAAGTTCAGAAGGTGCATGAGTGTTCCCAAAACTTGGGCTCATGGCTCTCCTTAGCTGCATTTTCCCATCAGTGAAATGGCAGTGATAAATGTTACCTATCCATCTTCCTGCCTCACAAAGGTGTTTGTGCCCTGCTGTCTGTGCTGTGGCTTAAGATGAAAACTGCTGGATAGGAACTCACATTAATTTTGCTGACAGTATGTACTGTCAGCATCACTTCCCTCTGGGGAAGCAAGTCGTATGCATGAAGGGAAAGGATGTAGAACAGACAGTGTTGGTGTTGTAGCAATACTCTCAAAGTAAGTTGTCATAGCCCTTATTTATAAACACTAATACGAACGTAAAACCATAGGCTAGGTTGTCGCTTAATTTCTTACCTCTTTGAACACTCATAACTTCCATAGCAAAGCAGCTTTTGATAAGCTTGCATAAATATACACGTGCTTGTGAGGACTGAGAGAAAGTCATGGCAAAATACCTGTCAGGTGTGAGGGTAGTGGATTGCATGAGACATGTATATAGCCTTCTATGTAGTGCTGAGAAGGAGCGGTGGTTGTGGTACATGTTGGTGCCAAAGACATAGCGAAAGGTAGAAAGAGGTCCTGGAAGCCAAATTTAGGCTGCTAGGTAAGAGATTAAAGTCCAGGGTCTCTATGGTGGCGTCCTCTGAAATGGTTCCAGTTTCATGTGCATAGTCAGGAAGACAAGCAGAACTGCAGGGTCTCAATGTGCACACCAGACAAAGGTGTAGGGAGGAGGGGTTTAGGTTTATTAGAAACTGGGAACCTTTTGGGAAGGAGTGGCTTATTCGAGAGGGTGGATTCCACCTACCTAAGTAGAACCAGACTTCTGGCACGTGAATTACAATAGGGCTGGAGAGGATTTTTGAACTCAGAGCTAAGGGAAAACCAACAGGTGCAGAGGAGCACATGATTTGGGGCAGAAACATGCCTGCTGGGTGATGAGGGAGAAGTGGATATGTAAGAAATTCATAAAGTATAGTGAGGAACAGTCAAATGAAATAGAATCCCATTTAAAAACAGCACATGCATGCAAACAATTAAGAACATAACATAAGAACGGCCGTACTGGGTCAGACCAAAGGTCCATCTAGCCCAGTAGCCTGTCTGCTGACAGTGGCCAGCACCAGGTCCCCCAGAGGGGGTGGACCGAAGACAATGATCAAGCCATTTGTCTCCTGCCATCCCTCTCCAGCCTCTGACAAACAGAGGCCAGGGACACCATTTCTATCCCCTGGCTAACAGCCTTTTATGGACCTAACCTCCATGAAATTATCTAGCTTCTCTTTAAACTCTGTTATAGTCCTAGCCTTCACAGCCTCCTCTGGCAAGGAGTTCCACAGGTTGACTACACACTGTGTGAAGAAGAACTTTCTTTTATAAGTTTTAAACCTGCTACCCATTAATTTTATTTGGTGTCCTCTAGTTCTTTTATTATGGGAACTAATAAATAACTTTTGAATGTTGAATTGAATGTTGGCAAAGCATGCAAGTGCTTGTATACAAATGCAAGGAACCTAAACTCTGAGATTGATGAACTAGCGTGCCTGTCAATAGATGAGGCTGTGGAAAGCAGCTTTCAATAAGCTTGCGTAAATATACATAGGTGCTTGTAAGAGTTGGAGAAGGTCATGGGAAATGACCTGTTGCAGAGGCGTAATGCCTAGACTCCATGAACTACTGCTACTTAGAGCAGCTAGTCCTGGAACCCAGAAGCAGAGAGGCAGTTCTTAATTTAATCCTACCACATCAGAACTGCTGTTTTGGGGCAATAAAATCAATACATCTGAAGTTCTATCTGTATTCATGTGTCAGTAGAAGAGGTTTTAAGCAAATTGTTTAAATTGATAAATTAAATGGTAATAAGTCACCAAGTCCAGATGAAGGAACTCAGCTATGAGATTGCAACTACTGTTGTTATAACCTACTGCTGAAACAAACCTCTGATTAGGTGATAGCTCATGTAACACTGATCTGTGGGCTCCAGAGGTGTATTACAGCATGGTGAGCCTAATTTCAGTACTGGACAGATTGGTAGAAACTGCAGAAAAGAACAGAATTGTCAGACATACAGATGAACACAGTTTGTTGGGGAGGAGTTGTGACGGCGCGTTGGGGGGTCTCCTGCACCCCGAAATGGCACAAACAGACTGCACCAGCCGGTGGAATAGAGGAAGTTTATTGCCTCTCCAGGATACAGCACAGCACAGATGGAATCTGGTCACAGAGCTGGGCTAGGATGCCTCAGGCCCCCTTGAGATGGGGGAGACTGGGCCCCTAAACTCCAGCCCCTTTCCCTAGGCTGTCTCCTTCATGCTCCCAGACAGCAACTAACCAACACTCTTCCAGCCCTGCCCCCCAGCCAGGGCAGCATTCCACCTTCCTTTGTTCCTCTCCATGGGGGGTGTCTGGCCATACTGGTTGAGAGATCCCTTTGCATAGTGACTCATCCTGTTTTGCTGGGTCGTGGTACCCACGGCAGCCAGTGGGGGTTACCCCAGAGCCAGCAGCATAGAAACCAGCCAGGTACTCCCACTACGTCACAGGAGTCAACATGGCTCTTGTAGAGGGAAGCTGTGCCTCACCAGTCTGTTAGAATTCTTTGGTGTTAGCAAGCATTGTGTACTTAGAATTTCAGAAAGCCTTTGACAAGGGTTCACACCAAAAGCTCTAAAGTAAAGTATCTGCCACTGGATAAAAGGAACGGTCCTTTCATGGATCCATAATTGGTTAAGGTAGAAAACAAAGGGTAGGAATAAATGGTCAGCCTTCACAATGGAGAGAAGTGAACAGCAGGGTTGCCCAAGAAACTGTACTGGGACGTGTGCTGTTCAGCATATTTGTTAATGAGCTGGTAAAGGGTGATGAGTGAGGTAGCGAAATTTGCAGGTGAAACAAAATAATTCAAGAGAGTTATGTCTAAAACAGACAGCGAAGAGCTACAAAGGGATCTCACGGAATTGGGTGACGGGGCATCAGAATGGCAGAAGAAATTCATTGATGCAAATGCAAGTAATGCACATTGGAAAAAAATCCGAATGACAAAAATCATCCAACTGAATGGTTCTCATTCATGAAAGAGCGCTCGGAATCATTGTGCATGGTTCTCTGAGAACTGAAGCTAAATGTGCAACAGTGGTGGAAAAGATTAGCAGTATGTTAGGAATTATTATGAAAGGGGTAAAGAAATAAGATACCGAACTTCCTAACGCCACTGTGTAAATCCATGGTGCACCGACACCTTCAACACTGTGTCCAGGCTTGGGCACTCCAGCTCAAAAAGGACATAGTGGAACTGGAAACGGTTCAGAGAGAGACAACAAAGATGATCCAGGGCATGGCTTCCATATGAGGAGAGACTACAAATATTAGGGCTGTTCCGCTTAGAAAAGAGATGAGCAAGTGGGGATATGCTAGAGGTCCAAAAGCTCATGAATGGTGTGGGAAAGGGAAAAGAGAAGAGTCACTCACCCTTTCTCACACTTTTTTACTATTGATGTTGTGATGGCCAAAATTATAGCTGGATTAAAAATAGATACGTTTATGGAGGGTGGGTCTACAGTGGCCATTAGCCAAGATGGTTAGGGATGCAGCTCCATGCTCAAGGTAACCCTGAACTTCTGACGGCCAGAAGTCAGGAGTAGAGATGTATGCATTGGTCAGAGGATATAGATGATGAGACCCTTGGGGATGATGTTTTGTTTCTTGTGTTTGTTTGGGAAGTAGATGTTGCTGTTAAGTTTCTTGTTTTTCATGATGAGTTTGTAATTCAGGGGACTAACTTCAATATCTTCCTTTGGTTCATGAGCATAATTGTAGTTGTTGATTCCAGGTTATTAGGTAGCTAGCTATCTTGGGACTGGCATGGCTCAAGTACGCTGCATAGAAGCTGGGAGTGGAAGACAGGTGTATTTCTCTCCATTTCCGTACACTCCCATTGGAGCTCTGCTCACTGTTGGAGATGGGTTACTGGGCTAGTTGGACCAGGAGTCTGACCCAGTATGGCCATTCTTACGAAACTCTAGCTTTTTCCATATACAGCAGGGTTTTGCCCAACCACTAAATTGTGTATTCTCCAAAGCAAAGAAAGTTCTCATCACACTTTATGCATCTGTTCTGAGTAACTTTCGGGCTATCGTGACCAGGATCATGTTTTAATCTTTTTTTATTACTATTCCATCCTTGTATTCCCCCAGAAATGTTTAGAGTGCAGAAAACATTTAAATAAAATGTGAACACGGACAAACCTCTCTCACAGCATCTTTGTTAGTCACAGTAAGTTGTTGGTCCCTTCTTTTTGCTTTCACTCAGTCTGATCAATAATTCCCTTGGAGAAATACACACTGGACTCCTTTTAAATAAAAACTACCCATGCTGTGTATATTATGGCTTGCTGGTGTCATTAGCACTTTTTTAAGTCTGATTCAACCTAATAGTTTTGCCATTAGTTTTCCCTTGTAATCATGGTGTTTCTTGACAGCGCTTATTGCTCAGCATCAGATGTGGTGTTTTATGTTTAAGGAGAGATTGCATCACATTTGCTCTGCTTATAGCTTTAGATTGCAGTGATATACCTTTCTGTATGCAGCAGCGACCAGTCCTCTCTTCCTTCATTGATTATTCAGTGAAGCTTTTCATTGTTCTGCCTTAGAAAAGTGTTACAAAAAATAAACAGTCTGCACATCTATGAGATTTCAATGCCATATTGTAGTGGTTATGGGTACTTATGAGTATGAACTGTTCTGGCTAATTTCGATTCTTCTTTGGAATAGGGCTTTTGCATTCCCTCCTGGCTAAGAAAACCTGTTTTAGGCATTGTTAGTGCTCAGTAGATACTTCAATACCTGGTGCCAACTCTTCTAATATAGTGATCTTGTAAGAGTAATTATGGATGCTTAAATAAGGGGTCATGGCTCTCCTAGGAGACAGATGTTGTAAGAGGAGTGCTGTAGTTGTGCTCCCACCCTCAGTCTCTGCCTTGTTTTCTCAGTGACTCCATCACCTTTGAGAAGGCATACTGTGAGTACAGGTTGAACAGAATTGAAAGTGCGCTGAAGACCATTCAGTGTGCCAGCCAGCAGACAGACAAACTGAAGGAGCTGTACGGACAAGTGGTAAGTACTGCTTTGGGAACTCTGTCATTCATGAGCCCTCTGCTTTGTGAGTTGGAAAAAAATCAGACACAAACTTTTCTAATGCTCAGCTGTGACTTAAAAAAACCCTGTTATGTTCTTGGCAGAAACTCACTGAAATCAGACAAAACTCCCATTGACTTCAGAGGGACTTAGGATTTCACCCTCTCTTCTAGTTAGCTGGGGTCTTCCAAGCTACCAGCTCGGGCAGGTAGCTCCATCCTTTCTCTGTTGGCCCCCCACTTCCCTCTACAGGCAGTCCCTGGGTTACGTGCAAGATAGGGACTGTAGGTTTGTTCTTAAGTTGAATTTGTATGTAAGTCGGAACTGGTACATATTGTAGGGGAAACTCTAGCCAAACATTTCTCCAGAGCTCAGTTTTATTCTCCCACACCTCACTTCCTTCAGTCCTTTATTCTCAAGCTGAGGTGTCTGCTGAGAAAAGCCGCTCCGCGTCTCCCTGGTCTGCTGGGGGGAAGCAGCTAGTGCGGGGTTGCCTCACCCCGTTTGTAAGTAGGGATCCGATGTAAGCCGGATCCATGTCACCCGGGGACTGCCTGTATTTCATTGTCTACTGAATCAAATTCCTCTGTTCCAGAAATCAGGGTAGTTTGCTGGAAGCTACTTAACCAGAATGTGCCTATGCAGCCATATAACTGGTCATCTTCCTTCTCCCCCGGGGTAGCACAAAGCGATGGGTTTCCATCAGCTAAGGAAGTGGGCAGGTCCCAAGGAGAGTGATTACCTTTCTGCTCTGTGAGCCAGGTCAGCTCTTCATAGGATCTAGTCCTGCAGGTGCTTCATGCATACAGTTGCTTAACATCAGGAGCAGCTGTGTGGGAAGTGGCATAACTTGAGCTAGGCTTGGAGCACCAGGATGGAAAAGAGGAAGAGAAAAAGCTTTTCTTCCTTCCCTTGTTTTCACAGTTGATGAGAATAATCCCAACATGTGGAAGGAACAGTTGCTTGCTGTAAATAGTTTTTGAAAGAAGGTTATTTAATCTGGTTTCTTGAGAGGTGCTGAAGCTTGTAGTGAAGAGGCTGGCAGAGACCAAAATCGACTCTGTTCAGAGTAAATTCTGCAGTAGACTTTACAGCACTTGTTTAGGTGTGTCTAGCTGTGGAGGCCGGTGTGCAGGGCAGTGTCTCCCTTTCCAGTTGTACAGGTTGGAGCGCTTTGACGACTGCTTAGCCGTGTATCGGGATCTCATCCGGAACTCCCAAGATGACTATGAGGAAGAAAGGAAAACCAATCTTTCTGCAGTGGTTGCAGCACAGAGCACATGGGAGAAAGTGGAGCCAGTGAGTGTGTTTGCGTGTTCCCCTGCTGAGCCTTGTCCTCTAAGAACACTTCTGAAGATGAATCGCATGGCTCGTGGATGGGAGGGATGGGAAGGAGACATTGGAGAAGCTAAATCGTAAAGAGAAAATAGGAGAACTTGGCTAATACACACAGAAAAGAGTAATGTCTCCCTACCCCATAGCTGTGTGGAGTGAGGCTGTGTTCTGGAGATGTAATTATTTTATAAAGTACTAGCAGGCAGCATTTCTCCCTCTGCATGAATCGCATGGCTCGTGGATGGGAGGGATGGGAAGGAGACATTGGAGAAGCTAAATCGTAAAGAGAAAATAGGAGAACTTGGCTAATACACACAGAAAAGAGTAATGTCTCCCTACCCCATAGCTGTGTGGAGTGAGGCTGTGTTCTGGAGATGTAATTATTTTATAAAGTACTAGCAGGCAGCATTTCTCCCTCTGCTTGTGGCTATTAGCACTGGTCTTCCATAGTTTGCTTGGCTAAAACCCAGAAAGTAGCCCATGTGACCTCAGCTGGCAATCACGTGTCCAAACTGGAGGCCTCCTATCCAACAGGAGTGCATCCGGAGTGACCTCTCCCCTAGTGCCCCAGTGCGTGCCGTACTTCCAAGGTTCTCCTAATGCTAATAAGTTGTCTGTCACCCTGCTTACCCTGTCACTCTTCTATTGGATGCCCTGGCATTTCAGGTATAATTTAATTTAAATGAACAAAAGTGAACAGAAGTGCCTTTTGCAGTTGGCACTGTCCGATGCACAACACAGCGCTCATGCACATGTTATAGCCTTGTGCAATCTGGTCATTGACAGTGAGTGTCCAAGACAGTGCACACCAGCCAGATCCACTGAACGTGAATGGCTGTGAGCGCCTCTGCTTCCATCCAGCAGAACATTGCTAATGTGCACTAGTGACTGGGAAGATCCATTGTGAGTGTAATGCTCAATGGTTAGGCACATTACGTGTGTTTTAAAATATTTAAAGCTGTAACTTGTCTTTGAAGTTCTCCAGGGATGCAGTTCCTGCCAATTCTCTGCTTAAGCAGCATGGATAGTTCTCCTGAGATCTAATCCGGTTATTTTTCTAATTCCTAAGAGCTGGACTGTTCTGCAGCAAGAAGTTGGATATCTCCATTGCAGATTCCCCCTTGGCTTTGTCTTGCAGCATAAGGGGAAGACCATTCATGCCATGGCTTTTTTGACAGCACATAGCCTCTCAAAATCACCTTCACATGCATTTCCTAGTGAATCTTCTGTTGTATATTAATCTAAGAAGTTGGCATGTTTGCCCAAAGCTATGGCTTTTGCCTGGAGTAATCCTGTAAAAGTATCTTTAAACAAATCTGATTAGCTTCTGATCCAAAATTAGGCTGGATAAAGTAGGTAGTAAATTTGCCTTTCAAGCATTTAACCTGATCCTCTCTCTCTATTAGGAAGATCTGGGCCTCCAAGAAGGCTCCTATGAGCTGTGTTATAATTCTGCATGTGCATTGATTGGGCAAGGCAGGCTGACTGAGGCCATGAAGAACCTACAGAAAGCAGAAGGTAACAACATAGGCTGTTATAAAGATGTGTATCACTCGTTCTTTGTAAATACAGAGAGAGAACAAGGATTTGATTCCAGATTAAAAATGGGATTGGACAACTGTAGGGCTCTTCTGTTAGTTTCCTTAGTGTATTCGCCAAGAGGGGTTGGGACTTCATAACACTTAACATTTCTTAAGTCACTTTTGTTATGTCACTTCTTTTTAGCTATCGTGGATCAAATTGTTTTCTTATCTGCAAGGGCTTAGCATTTCAATCTGTAGCCCTCTTCCTGCTTTCCAGATACATATCGTTTATTGTTTGGCCATCATTTTACAGTAGCAAACTGTATAGAACATCTCAGTCTTTCTTCCCGCTTGATAGTTAATTCCTGAGTGCTTTTGGTAAGTGCTTATGATTGTGCCAGTACTGCAATCTCTTCATGGTAGCAAAAGTTTTAAAAGTCAACTGCAGCTGCTCTTTGAGTGTACATCAGTCTTTTAAGTCTGGTGAGGTCATGTGGGTGACAAGGAGTTATAGTGGTGAGAGCTAGTTCACGAAAGATAGACTACTTTTAAAGAAAATGAACAGGGGAAGGAGAGAAACAAGTGAAAAACTTGCTTGCCTTAAAATGTGCCCGTGAAATTTTGTAGACCCGTTTAGAGTCCACAATGGACACGCAATATAAACCAGGGGTGGAGAACTTCCAGCTCCCTGTTTAATTTGATCTGGCCTATGGCAAGTCTCTGCACCATGGGCTGGAAGCGCCAAGCCTCGGCTACCCCTGCAGGGCTGCAGTGTGAGCGCTGGTCGGCCGGAACTGGGCACGCCCCAGTACCCCGAGTTGAGTGTGAGTGAGGGGTTTTGGGGTATTTTTTGCTGCTTACATGAGAGCAGGATGTTTGCTTTCTGTTTTCGTTTTGCTTTTTATTTGTGTGCAGCCCCTCCCTCCCCCCAACTGATTTTTCTGTGGGCCAGTGGCCCCTGATGAGAAAAGGTTGCCCACCCTGATATAAACAAACATTCTTACCATCGTCCTGTTCTCTGCCTTCCTGTGGGTAAGAATTGATCCTTTCTAAATGTTTCACATTATTTTCTCTAGATCTGTGTCGCCAGTCGCTTTCGGAAGACACTGTAAGTTGTTGCTGTTACTCCGCATAAGGTGCATTTTACACTGATGCATTTCAGAGCGGTGCCCCGGGAATTAGCCATGTGATTGCTTGTTAAATTGCTAGACAATATCATGTCCAGCAGTAGTCTCCAGTCTGCCTGCATTGATGTTCCCGATTCCAATCCCGAGGTGCAAGTTGTTCCTGCCTGTTGCTGAAATGTACATTTTTGGGGCCAGACTGTCTCTGGCCTTGCCCACATAGCACTCCCTTACATCAGTGCAATGGGGGTATGCTCCTGCTGCCTCAGAGGGAGGGGGAGGGAGGTATGCCTACTGCAGTCGTGTGGAGGCTGTGGTGAATGAGGCCCACAATTCATGCCTCACACTTTGGCATGTCTGTAAGGTGAAAGCGATCTGCTCGCACGTGGGTCGAAAGGATAATTTCCATTGTTAAGAGTAGCTTGGCCTTTGGCTCCTATTTTGTGGCTTAAGGTGCGAATGCGTTTAATCGTGTCATGGCTTGGCTGCCTTTTGAAGATTGGCCTTCTGGCAGTGGATTATGACTGAGGGTTTTGCCTGGGAGAGACTGAAAAAGTGCCAAGCGCAGAAGCCAGGGAGCCCAGGAAGAGGGGGGCTTCATTCTGTCGTGGTTTTCCTTCAGGATGTGACGGAGGAAGACATTGAGGCTGAGCTGGCCATCATTCATGGTCAGATGGCCTATATCATGCAGCTGCAGGGGCGTACAGAGGATGCGCTCCAGCTTTACAATCAAATAATCAAACTAAAGTAAGTGCTTCGTTAAAACAAGCTCTCACCCTTCCTGACGGGACACAGCTGCTGTCTAATAGCTGTATATTTAATTCTCATTTTTCCTCTGCAGGCCGACAGACGTGGGATTGCTTGCTGTAATTGCAAATAACATCATTACTATTAACAAGGTATAGAATTGCTTGTTCTTTGCAAGAATGCTTGAGAGAGAAATCAGAATGAACGCTGAACTCACCGCATGCAGAGCTCCCATTGACGGGGGTGGGTCAGGTCTGCGTGCAGAAGGATTGCAAGTGGAAATAAGTACTTGCTTTCAAGTGGAAGAAGCTCTCTAGCAGGGAAGTTCTATTTACAGTGTTGCTGTTTGTCCTGTTATTTTGGTATTTCCATTGTATTTTTATCCTGAGAGACTCCAATCCTACAAATACAGATTGCAAAAATAATCCTGTACGTAGATAAATTCACGCATATGAGTTCCATGGGAGCCAGTCACACTGCTTGCATGTCTGTAGTTACATATGTGCCTAGAAATTTGCAGGATCCAGGTCTTAGAAGACTGAAGCTTCTAGATTAAGGGTGTGTGAGAATTTTTTTCAGGTACAGAATTGAGGGAGTTGGGGGAATGGGAAGATTCGGGGTTTAAGTGTGCTGTGTTTGGGATTCAGTAACTTCTACAATGCATCATGCAAACTATTAGTTACATTGAGAACATGAGGTTTTTGTGCTGTCTTCAAAACCTGATGGCTCACTACAGTGAAACTTACATCAAGTACATAGTATTTACACAATAGTATTTGTGTATGCGAAAACTATACAAATAGCATAATGTAGGAGTCGTTTCTCATGTAGTCTCATTCTACTGTCATTTTTTAAATGTTTGCTTGACAGGTCAGAGTTGCCAGTAAATCATTCTGCTCTTTGTTGAAATTCTGCAGTTAAAAACATGCAAAAGTTGCCCATATATAAGTAATATAAAGTGGTATGCATAAGCCAGATGGGAAAAATAAGTGTAATTCTCTCTAAAATGAGCTATGCCTCCCAAAAGATGGTATGGATCTTGGTACTGTCTGGTTTCCAGACCACAGTGACCTATCTGTTGCAGGCACTTCATGGGATTTCACACTGACTGCAGAAGACAGCTTTTAGGGTGCCCTGTAGAGAGAGATTCTGAGGCATTCTGGCAAGAAAGAAATACCTGGAGTCCCCATTCATCATTGCCTCGTCTTGTGTTCTTTGTGCTGCCCAGTGCTGGCAAACAGGGAGGAAACACGTGCCCGTGGGTGTTCACGGCACGATCTGAGTGTGGTGGGGGGTGGGATTTTGTACTAGCACAGTCAGTTGGGGGATCAAGATAGAGATCACCATTTAAAGGAGATAGTGTAACTTGGCTTCATCTTGGTTTTGCTTTCACCAGGACCAAAATGTTTTTGACTCAAAGAAAAAGGTGAAATTGACCAATGCAGAAGGTGTGGAGCACAAACTCTCCAAGAAACAGCTGCAGGCCATCGAATTTAACAAAGCTTTACTGGCTATGTACACCAATCAGGTAGAGTGGTCCTTGGTTTACTGCATGCTGTCCTGGTAAATGTAGTACTCGTTAACTTAGCATTGACTGGGGATATACGGTTGAGAAGAAATTGTGCGTTGCTCTACATGAGGAAATACTTCAATGGCTGTTCTTGTTAATAAGGCCCCCATTGCCATTAACTTAGCATTGACTGGGGCTATATGGTTGAGAAGAAATTGTGTGTTGCTCTACATGAGGAAATACTTCAATGTTAACTTAGCATTGACTGGGGATATACGGTTGAGAAGAAATTGTGCGTTGCTCTACATGAGGAAATACTTCAATGGCTGTTCTTGTTAATAAGGCCCCCATTGCCAAAACACAAACCCGGGACTACAGATGTGGTACCAGTATTGATTGGGTCCATGAGCTCAGAGCTTTAGAGAAGTGTAACTGACAAGAACACAGTCAGGTCTCTGGTCTAGAAAGCTGAGCAGGCCTTTCATGGGGGTTCACGCCGGCTGCTGAAGACAGCTTTCAGGGGCCCTGCGGTGAGAGATTGAGGCACTCTGGCAAGAAAGAAATGCCATTGCCTAGAGCTGCATGTGCGTAGAAACCGAGATTTGTCCCGTGTCTGTTATAGAATCTGGCGGAAGGGGCGTGCTGGGCATTTTCACATGGTTCCCCTTTTGTTTCCCCTTCTCCCAGCGGCACACGTGGGTCTAGCTCCTTCTGTCCCGCACAGGCATTCTGGGGGGAACAAGGGAGAACCGTGGCGAAGAATTCCCAGGTAGCGGCTTGCGCAGCGCCTCGCTTGGAGAGTCTCTTCCCAGCCAGTGTATTTCTAACTGCAGTAGCGCCCACAGGCTCTGATGCTGTTTGAGCCACGCACTGGGAGCCCACGACAGACTGTCCCCAGGCTGCATGCGGTCTAAGTGTCTAGGCAGGAGGAGGGCAGTGAGGAGACGGGCCAGCGCAGGTGGAGAGCTGTGCAGGCGTCTGGCTGAGGAGTGAAGCAGAGGGCAGCGCGATGGCAAAGGCCCTGCCTTTGGGAGTCCTGCATTGGAATATCCAGGGGCCAGTGACCGTTCACCTGTTGGCACAGCCTCCGCCATGCCCCGAGCTCGGCTGGGGCCTCCTGAGCCTCCTGCCGGACGATCGGTGCCTCGGAATCGGGCGGCCCCGCTCTCTGGGGGCCTGCACAGCGTCAGTAGCTGCCCACTGATGCCGAGGCGAATGTCCCCTTGTGTCCCTCAGGCCGATCAGTGCCGCAAGCTGTCAGCGAGTTTGCAGTCCCAGAACCCTGAGCACCTGCTGCCTGTGCTGGTCCAGGCTGCCCAGCTCTGCCGAGAGAAGCAGCACGCGAAGGCAATAGAGCTCCTGCAGGTGGGTGACTGCCCTGCTGGCCAGGAGAGGGGAGGGGAGGGCAGTCCCTCGGTGCAAGGAGCACTGGGGCTGCCCAAAGGGTGCGAGCTCTGCCATGGGCAGTGGCCACTGCGTTGAGTGACTGGCTTCCAGTGAGAATGCAGTGACCTCCCGGCCGGGGCGCCCGCGCCCTGATGGTGAAGGGTTGGCTTTGTCTGTGACAGGCGAGCCCCACGTGACAATGACCCCTTCACTATGGGGGTGGTGCCAGGGCTGCTTTCCTCCGCAGAGGGACCTGGTGGGTGCTGGACCCTGGGGCTGTGCTCCTCCAGTTTGACCATGCTGACTTCGCTTCTCCTGGCCTCTCATCCCAAAGGGTGGAGTCCACGTCCTTTGCCAGCCCTTCTCTGCATGCACAAACTGGGGCCAGAGCCTGCGGGCACCTCTGGTTTCAGAGTGCCCTGTTCCTGAGTGACTGCTCGCCTGCAATGAACTGCTCTTAAACGGGCGCTGTGTTTGCATGGCACTCCACCTGTTCTCCTGAAACGGGGCCAGGTTCCTCGTGAACAAGGCCTGGGCCGTGGTGGGGTCACCTGGCATGCTGCGCTGGCCAGCTGCCTCCCTAGACGGCCACTGGGCCTGGCTTGGGTGGATGGGGATGGTGCTGTGGGAGGAGCAACGGTCCCTGGAAGCAGCTGGGTGCTCTGTATGGAGCGGTGCCACGGGAACGGCTCCCTCCCTGGCTGTTCAGTCGCCCCCGCGAGCTTTTCTTTCGGAAGTTGGGTTTGAAATGGGCCCAGGCCAAGGCTGACGCTCTGTTTGACCATGCTGACGTGCCCTGGCGTCTCTCGCCCTCAGGACTTCTCGGAGCAGAGCCCTGCTAACGCGGCACAGATCAAGCTGACGATGGCCCAGCTGAAAATCGCTCAAGGTACCAGTGCCCATTTGTGCTAGGAAATGCTGCTTTGTTGCTAGGTATCCCCCAGATCTTTGTCACTGGCCTAAGGCCAGGGCTGAGGGGGGCCGCCTGTTGCTGTGAGCCCGGGCCAGGCAGCTCCAGGCAGGGCCGGTTAGAAATACCTTCTCAGACACCGCCCTTCTGTGAGACTGCAGAGGCTGGGGCCATCGCTGCGCTCCTCTCAGCTCTCCTCTGCGTTTGGCCAGAGCCAGGCTGCAGCCGCCCCTCTGGTGTCTGAGAGGAGTAACCGGGGGAGGGGGTTGTCATTAGCCGCGGGCACTGTGTTTGGGGGGCAGACTGAGCCCTGACCGAGGCGGAGCTCTTCTCTTTTCACCACGGCTGTGGGGTGAGACACGTCTCTTCCGTCCTTGTCTCCTGCTGCCCTGTTCCCTTAGAGGCAGCAGCCTTGAGCATGCTGGGGACCCAGTGGGAGCCCAATAGGTGCTGGGCTGCTGCAAAGGCTGTGTAGGCCGAGGCTGAGAACAGCGCTCCTGGGACGGACGTTTCTCCCAGCAGTTGGTGGGGTCTTCCCGAGAGTGGGGAGGAGCGGGCAGGGGCCCTGCCGGCAGAGCAGTGCGGCGGCTCGCTGGCGTGTGCGGATTCCCCCGGGCGCTGTGAGGAAAGGGGACCAGAGGAGACCAGAGGGCAGGCGAGCATTGCTGCGTGGGTGAAAGTGCATTCTTCTCCCTTCTGTCTCCAAGGCAGCGTCACCAAAGCATGCATCATTTTGAGGAGCATAGAAGAGCTGAAGCATAAGCCAGGCATGGTGAGTGGCATCCCAGGGTACCATCCTCCAGAGCTCCCTGTGGTTTTCACGCAGCTTCCCTGTTGTTGTCTCCTGAGCTACCCTGGGCTGAGCGTCAGGCCTGGCTGCCCCGCGCTGGTCTCGGTCGCCTGACGCGCTTGCCGAGCGGGGCGTGAGCATTACAGCTCCGAGTAGCTGTTGGACCGTTGGCTAGCTCCCCTCTTGTGGCAAAAGCCAGCCAGAGCCGTGGTCCCGACTTGCACTGGGTCCCCAGACGGGCGGTTAGACGGACAGCTGCCCTTCCGGTCCCAGTTGGGCCTGCCCCCCTTCCGACAGCATTCCCGTACCAGCCCGTGGCAGCTGCAGCAAGGAATGCTGGGAAGGCGTCCGACACTGGCCGTGAGCAGCGGGAAGCAAGGAGAAGCCAGTGGCGCAAGACCTTCCCGCTCCCCCCGCCAGAAGCCCAGCGGCAGCAAGCGCTCTGCCTACCGTGGCGTTGAGCGCGGCCCGGGAGCCTTGGCCCTCCCTAGTCGAGTGGTTCTCTCGTCCCTGTCCCCTCCGTTGATTGAAAGCGTTCGACGGCAGAGCGGGGCTTTTCGACATTGCAGTAGCGTCCTGGCTGTACTGGGGGGACTCGGGGCAGCGGCTGCTGCTTCTAACGTTCCATTGGGGCTGCTCGTTCCACTTCGTCTCCAGCGATTCTTTTACTGACACACCAAGTCCCAGGGCTGCCCCGGGCCACGCGCTGACTGTCACGGTGCCTTGCAGGTGTCTGCCTTGGTGACGATGTACAGCCACGAAGAAGACATTGACAGCGCTATCGAGGTCTTCACGCAGGCGATCCAGTGGTACCAGGAGAACCAGGCAAGTAGAGCCAGGCAGACAGCACTGGAGAGCTGAGCTACGCTCGGCCCTTGCTGACTCGCTGGAGACCAGCTCCTCCCGCACGCGAGTGGGAGAGGGGCATGGCAACAGGCAGTTGTCTTGCACCTGCTGCGCTGCTCCCTGTCTCCCGCCCTGACATGCTGCTGGCGCCAGGCCTGTCCTTGGGGCCAGTGGCAAGGCTGCAGGGCGAAGTGGCCTGTTGGGTTAGCGCGTGTGCGGGCCATCGGGGGCACTTTGTCGCTCCGTGTCCCGTGCTGCCAGTGGCGATGGGCACTTCCTTGGGGGAAGGGAGCGCTTGAGTGAGAGCACTTCAGAGGGGCGCTGAGTGCAGCCTGCACCACACGACTCGGGTGGGAAGTGCTGGCCGGCCCACGGTGCGCCGGGCTGCGCTGGCCTCTAGCAGTGCAGGCACGTGGCTGGCTTCCCGAAGGCTGCAAACACGTCTTCAGTTGAAGAACCTTGTGACTTGCAGCCCAAGTCTCCAGTTCACCTGTCGCTGATAAGGGAGGCCGCCAACTTCAAGCTGAAGTACGGGAGGAAGAAGGAAGCGATCAGTGACCTGGAGGAGCTGTGGAAGTGAGTTCGGAAGGAGCGGGGTAGCCTGTTTTCCGCCTGCACCTGAGCCGTTCTGGGAGGCCTGCCCAGGGGTTCTGGAGCCAGATGTCTGTAGCGTTTCGGTGACGTCTGAGGCACTGGCTCCTCCTTTTAGACATTGTAACGAGGCCTCTGCTCAAAGCTGTGCTCCCTGGGGTGAAGCGCTGCTACTGCAGGCCTGGCTGGGCTGGGCAGGAGCAACGCTCCATCTCTCTCCCGGGTGCTCACGCCTTGGATCCTGAGAGGAGCCGGGGCTTTCCTGGCAATGCCATGTCTCCTGCCCCAGCCAGTGCCCGTCTCTGTGGCAGGACTTCCCCAGTCCCTATCTGAAATGCGTAAACCCCGGGCCCTCCTTGGTGCAGCTCGTTCTGAGGCCTGGCTAGCGCTCTCCTGTTGTGCCAATATCCAGATGAGCTTGTCCTTGCTAATCGTGGCAAGCAGCAGACACAGTGCGGTTGTCAGAGGGGCAGAAGATTTTCAGAGGAGCCACTTTGAAAACAATAATTTGACCCAAATGACAAATATTTGGCGTAAGACGAATGGAAGCAGGCCCTAGGTTTCCATGGTGGTTGGCTGCGTGGTCCCCGAAGAGACACGTCAAAGTGCCTGGCAGCGTTAGGCGGTAAACGCCCTGCATGAGAGAGTGTGAATCGCAAGGCCCGTATCCGCTCCTGCTTGGCCGGAGCTGGGCCGTGTGGCTAGCTGGACCTGGGCTTGTCTGGTGTTTGTAGCCTGTGCGGTGAACTTCAAAGTGTTCCTCTCTTCTTCTCTTCAAGGCAAAACCCCAAAGATACTCACACGCTGGCCCAGCTCATCTCCGCCTACTCCCTCGTCGACCCCGAGAAGGCGAAGGTGTATCCGTTGTGGTGGCGGCGGGAGGGGCTTGCTGTCCTTTCAGTGCCCTGAACGGTTTCCTCACCGTGCCTGGAGTGTTCGGGAATTTTGAGCTGCTTCAGGACCCTTCCGGGGGGACGACAGAGGCCCTCTGACCCGGGGAGGAGCGGGAAGGGTCATAGTGCAACTTCACAGCAAGGGCGGGCTTTTCAGATGCCCCTCAGCGAGCTGGGTGCCCAGCTGCCACCTACTCCTAGTAGGGTTTGGGTGTCTAACCCCTTCGGGCCGAGAAGGTGGTTAATAAGTGAACAGATCAGTCTGACCCCACTGTTTGCACGGCAGCTGCTTCGCTTTCCCTCCAAACCATTTGGTGTGGGTTCTTACCCTCTGCCCATCAGAGCTCCCAAAGCTGCTTACAGGGCGGTCTGGGCATCAGCCTCATTGTACAGATGGGGCAGACGGCCCAGGGAAGGGAAGGGACTGGTCCCCCGTGGCCTTGCCCCCTCCGCTACTGGTAGTTCACTTGGAGTTTCTGGGACAGGTGGGGTTTGAGCCTCCTGCACTCCTGTTTGCATTCCTGAGCGCTGGCCTCCCGCAGCCTCAGCAGACACTTGCCCTCGTCGGACTCGATGTCTTTGAAAGTCGACGTGGATGCGCTCGAGAACTCCCCCGGGGCGACCTACGTGCGGAAGAAAGGCGGGAAGCTGACCGGCGAGAGCCAGCAGAAAGAGCAAGGGTAAGGAGCATCTCGCACCCACCATCCCGTCCACGGCCTGTTCCTGGAGCCTGCCCCTGGGTGTCTGCAGGCAGCTCCTGGGGGGCGCCGTGGGGCGGGTCAGCAAGGCAGAGGGGCTGGAGCCAGAGCTGTGCCGCCTGACAGTGAGGCCCCGTGCTCTGCGGGACATTCCCGCACGCTGGCCGTCCCGGGCACTGGCCGGTGGGCTGCCGAGTGGAACCTTGAGCGGGGAGCAGGACTCCAGGCACAGGCACTGACTTTCGGGAGGGCTTGGCCTAGGCCCTGCCCCCAAAGTCCATCCGTGCCCTGCCTCTTTCCACCCCACTCCCCTTCCCCGGGCTTGCCCCTTTCCCCCACAAGCCTCCCGAATGCTGTGAAACAGCTGATGGGGGTGAGGGAGCGCAGGGGGAGAGGTCTGCTGGTGGGCATGAGGTGCTGGGGGAGGGGATAGGGGGCTGACTGGGTGCTCAGCACCATGCGATTTTCCCCACGGCCTTGGTGCCTGTGCCTCCAGGTCTCGTACAGACTGGGCTGCCGGGGAAGTAACGAGATTAGAACCGTTTCCCTGCGGCTGGTGTCCTTTCCCCCGCCCCCTCACTTGCAAAAAGAGCAAGTCCTCCCTTCCCCCAGCTCTGTTCACAGTGCGTCACTGGGGTCTTGTTTCTGCCCCCTCGTCTAGGCAAGGGGACGTGAAGAAAAAGAAGAAGAAAAAGAAGGGTAAGTTGTGCGTGTGATCTGGGCCCTCGCCCCTGTGCGCTGCCGCATCCCCAAGAACAGTCTTTAAACGCCCGGCCAGAGGACCCCAAAGACTGTGACAATCCCAGGCGTGTTTTGGGGGGGAGGCCTACAGGAGTTAGGAACCGAAGGCCCATCGATGCTCAGTGCTTCGTTCCCTTGGCGGGGGTGGGTTTGGGATCCCACCTCTAGTGAAGGGATGGCAGGGGGCTGATCACACCCTTCCTGGCCCCACCCAGCTCACTGCACTGCCTGCCCGTGACCTGCCTAGTCTGTCTCCAACCCCAGCTGCTGGGGTCAACATCTAATGTGAAGTGTCCAGGCCTGAGCACCTGTTTCCTTTGGCTTCAGTGGGAATTGCAGGCACCTTGCACCACGCAGGACCGGGCCTTAAGCAAACCAGAACTGCACTGATTTCCAAGGCCTGCTTTCCTGCGAGTGTGTCCCTGGCCCCGTGAGAGCTAGCACCTCGCTGTCCCCGGTCAGAGTCCCAGAGCCCCTGCATCTCACAGCCCGAGAACTGCCCTGGCGCCATCAGGCACATCGCTCCTGCCCAAGCTTCGTTCTGATGTGTGGGCTTCTCCTCCCCAATGACACGCACTCCGGCCTTTTTCTCCGGCCCAATGCTCTGCAGGGAAACTGCCCAAGAACTACGATCCCAAGGTGACCCCGGACCCTGAGCGGTGGCTGCCGATGCGAGAGCGCTCCTACTACCGTGGCAGGAAGAAGGGCAAAAAGAAGGATCAGATTGGGAAGGGCACCCAGGGAGCAACGACAGCCGGCACGTCTGAGCTGTGAGTAGGGCTTGTGGAGAGGGGGACTTCGTAATCCCACCGTCCCTCCGGTAGCAAACGCTCCTCCAGCTGCTCGCACTGCGGCCCCCTGAAGCCAGTGGCCCCTCGGGCTCTCCCCAGCGCGGTGAGCCGGCTTGCTTTGCTCGGTAAGTTGCCAGCTCCCCAGGGCAGGGGCTGTCTCGGTCGTGGTCTTAGGCTGAGCACGTTGTGTGCGTGGCGTGCGTCTGGCAGGCACCAGCCCTGGGGCGCTGGCCCTGCTGCACAAAGCTCAGGCTGGCAAACTTCCTCTGTCATGACACTCGAGCTCAGCTCCTTGCAGCTGAATGAGGAGCACTTCAGGGCAGGAAGCAAAACCTCCTTCTCCAGGTGCAGCTACGGGACAACACAGGTAGAATTACATCAGAGCGGCCGGGCTGGTCAGACCAAAGGCCCGTCCGGCCCAGGGTCCTGTCTGCCCGCAGTGGCCAGTGCCGAGTGCCCCGGAGGGAGGGACACGACAGGGAATCCTCACGGGATCCCTCCCCTGCCAGACAGAGGCCAGGAATGCTGTCCCTGCCCATCCTGGCTATCAGCTGGTGTTGGACCTGTGCTCCATGCATTTATCTCGCTCTTTTCTGAACCCTCCCGTGGGCGGAGCCGAACGGTGGAGCTGCTGTGTGTGGCGCTCCTGGGTATAAAACGGGCACCTTACCACTGTGCTGCTAATGTGGGCGGTGTTCCCTGTCTCCCTGCAGGGATGCCAGTAAGACAGCAAGCAGCCCGCCTACCTCCCCACGGCCTGGCAGCACCACGGCCTTGTCCTCAGCGGCCACAAGTAACATGATTCCCCCCCGGCACCAGAAGCCTGCTGGCGCTGCGGCAACCAAGAAGAAGCAGCAGCAGAAGAAGAAGAAAGGAGGCAAAGGAGGCTGGTGAGAGCAGCCGCCGAGCTGGCCTTGTGTGGGACGCAGCTCCCTGCCTAAGGTGCTGAGAACAGAATAAAGGTCAGAGTGAGACACAGCAGAGTCCCGGCTTCCTTCCCACTGTCTTGAAAAGGGCCCTCCTGGGCTTGGTTTCCTCTGCAGTGGGGAGGGGAGGGGGAAGCTTTTCCTCTGTCACTGGAAGTTTAGACACCAAAAAATAAAGACAGTTTTTGCCAAGCAATCCCAGCACCTGCTGACTTCAACTCTGCCAACATGAGCAGGGTTTCCCTCTTTCTGAAACAGTGTGTCCTGGCTTGACTGGCTCCCGGCTCCGTCATGGCCAGATCCAGAACATGATGGGGGACCCTTTTCCCTTCTCCTCCAATCACAGATGTTTCTCCTTTTAAATGTATGTTAATCGCACAGCAGAGTCCAGAGCGCCTCTCTCCGAAATGACCTGGTGCGGTAGGGTTGCTGAACAAGGGTGTGAGAAGCACTCAGCATGAGCAAGAAGCCTTTCAGAAAGGGCTGGTGTGTATATACACTGGTTAGCTGCTGCTCCAGTCCAGCCAGGCCCACCTCATCAGCAGCCCCATTGGGGGGAGGCCCTGCGGAATGGGGCTGCCTCAGCTGGTGGGAGGCAGGTGGGATCCTGTTTAAACATAATGTTTAACCCGTTGACTGTTCAAACGGGATTTTACCTTCCTAGTCAGTAGCAGGAAATAGGCAAGTAGGTGCTTCGTGCTTTTGGGTGGAAGTTTACAGTGGACTGTGTGTCCGTTTGCACGTGATCCCCTGGCAACCTCCCCCATACGCCTCCTGCTTCTGTTGTGGTGAATGTTGCAAAGGAGAGTGTTGCAAGGAGCTTGGGGAGGGAAGAGATTGCTGTGCTGTGCTGTGCTGTGCTGTGCTGTGCTGTGCTGTGCTGGGACTGAGGCGTGTTAAACTTGACTGTACATTCCACTAGTAAGGAGGAGTGGGGCAAAGTCTGGCACCAACTAGCAGCATTGTGAAAACAGTCTGCTAGAGAAATTTACAACCAAGCATTGCTGTCAGTGGAAACAAACCGGGCCCTGCAGAATCTGCTTCCCCACCTTTACAGCAGTGCTTCTCAACTTGCAGGCTGCTTGCAGCCCAACCAGCGCTCAGCTTTGGCCCACGTGGCAGACTCAAGGCCATACGGGTAAGATATGTAATGGGGGACACATCCCCACAAAATACAGAAACCCACAGATGTGGCCCACTGGTATAGTGGTTGAGACCTGCTGCTATATGAACTGCACAGCTTGAGAACCTGAGTCTGACTCGTCTGTTTCATCATCCCAGTGACCAGACGTGTGAAAAGCAAACAGCATAACCCAGGAAAAGGCTATTTTATTTTTTAAATCTTGGTTTTAAATCTTGGTTTTAAGGCTGCTTCACTCAGTGTGGCTAGTAAACAAGACCATGGGTTGTACAAGTGTCCCTTTAAATTCTTGTGTGTAGTGCTCTGAACTTGAAGCCCAGCCTGACTTTAGAAAATCTGTCTAGAAGGCCGGGCCAGACTTTCCAGCGTGCTCAGCACCTAGCAGCTCCCATTGTCCTAGATGGGTGCAGGGTTCTCCACTGTTTCCAGTGGGCGATTCCGGTGCTTTCAGGCAACGGACTCCTAAACTGCCATCTCACCAGGCACGGTGAACTTCACACACCCCCACCTCCCCGGAGAGACTGAAATCTGTGCTGGAACGATTCCTGTGGCACTGAGAGTTACCATGTCCTGACAACGGTGCCACTGGTGCCAGGCTGCACCCTGCAGGGAGCAGGCTGCTTCGCAAGGCCAGTTTCCAAGAGCTCCTCCGAAAGCAGCTTTCCATCCTGAGGGCCAGTGCAGCGTTTGGATGCTGGGACGAGAGGTTGAAAATGGCATTAAAATGAAACGCTCGGGGGGGTTTCACCTGGTCATCTTGGATTCAATTCTCAGTGCCGGAGGGTGGGGTAGCAGGACTGGCAGGGCCCCTTCCTCCCTATGTGCCCCCTGGAGCTCTGAGCTGCTGCAAGGCAGGGGCCTGGGTGCTGGACAAACATCAGGGCTGGGGCTGCCATCCACCCAGCAGCCCCACTGTCTCAGTTTTTAGTAAAAGGGACTTTCTTTGTTTAGTGCCCATGCCCCATCTCTGGCTTGTTCCAGCAGTAACCACGCCCCAACGGTAACCTGAGTCATTGCTCTTGCGTTAGCCTCTCGCAGCCCCTTTCTCACGCGACACCAGTGTGTTCTTTATAACGTTTCCCAAGCAGCAAGCAGGAGCCGTTATCCAGAGCTGCGTGTGCCCCACTAACAGCCAGGTGAACCCGTATCTTCCCAGAGCTCCCTGCAAGGCTCTAGGCACACGCCACCACCCGGCTCCTGCCAGCTGGTTTGCTTCCTGGGGTCTGTGATGCAGCGCTTCCACATCGGTGGCTCCGCTCTGCAAGCCCCAGCCTGGGCCGCTGCTCTTTTCTCCTCTCCTCTCTCTCCTCCCTTCCCCCCCCCATTAGCACTGGCTAGGCTACATCATCCCAGTGGCCTTCTCTGCTTCTGCAGAGCTGCTAGTTCCTCACTAGAGGCAGCGTCTGTGAACTGAATGCCGCCACCTGGCCAGACTAGGGCTTTTCAACCCGTGTAACTGACCAGGGAACATTGCAAGTCCTGCAACTGGCACCATTTCACATTTACCCCCCTCCGTTGTAGGGTCCCTCTGAAACCACACTGCAGTTCACCCTTCTTTTCCCATCAGTTTGTTCCCCCTGGAACACATTGATGGGAATGAGCTAGATACCTGCACACCAGCTTATCTGCTACCACGTGAAAGGGTAGCACTGAACAGGTGTCAAAGAAACAGGTACAAAACTGGTGCGTAGGACCACACCAAATGCCAGACCAAGGTTAGAAAGAAAGAAGGCTAAAGGGTTGATCCTGTGAGCATTGGTGCATGTTTAGTTACCTACCTGAGCAATGCTGCTGAAATCAGTGGAATTGCCCATATGAGTAAAGTTACAATATGTTGATATGTGTAAACAAAGACTGGACCCTAGTTTGGGGCTAATTCCTGCATTTTTGAAATGGGGAAAAAACCCTTTATCTCAGATGCAGATACATCGGTATATAAAATGGCAATTAGGCCCAAAATTAAATGTACTGTGTAATATTAGAAATGTTTTGTGTGTGCTATTATCCTGTGGTATTACCAGCCCAAGCATTGCAGTGATTTGCTAAAAGATGGGACCAGAAAGAAAAACTAATTTATTTTCACTGTGCCAAGCCAAAATAAATGAAAATGGGAAAACACCAGTAATGTGTAAAGCTGGAAATTCAGGTGTCTGATCAGAGGTAACATTAATAACTTGAAAGGTAATGTTGATAGTTTTTAAAATGATGGCATTTAATTTTATAGCCTGTAGTAGTGTGATGGGTTGGATCACAGCGTTCCCCTTGGGATTGTTACCTGGGGTGCTGGTCATGCCATGGAGTTCAACTACCTGCCCTCAGCCTGTCCTGCGGGGCTAGAAAGCCCTGGTCTCCCCCAGCTGGGGCACAGAGTTGGGGTAATACAGCCCCCCAGCAGAGCAACACAGATGCTGAACCAGCTCAGCTCTGGGAGGGCTCAGCTATAGCATCACTGGCAGCACCCAAGAACGTGGCCCCAAACAGGGCCAAATTCCCAAATAAAGCTCTCGCTCTATAAAAGTTTTGCACAAAGTGCTTAAATTCACCATCTATCAATGGAAGAGAGATGCATGGTGGTTTGTATGTATCCTGTGGTAAAACAGTGGAAAGCTGGAGGACTTGATGTACCCCGAAAAGACCTCTGCCCCCCCCCCCCCCCCCCGGTGGAGAGCCGCTGTTCTAAGCCTTGAACCGTGTTTATTGCTCTCTGAACATTGTCGGTTTGTTCACATCTGTCCAGGGCTGGGCACATACTGCAGGCGAGGCCGCCTCAGTGTGGGGTGGAGCCGACTCAGCAGCTCTTGTGCCTGGCTTCTAATAACCCTGCTAATCAGCCCGGAGCGATGCTTGTTACAACTCGGTTACACTGAGCCGCTGTTCTAAGCCTTGAACCGTGTTTATTGCTCTCTGAACATTGTCGGTTTGTTCACATCTGTCCAGGGCTGGGCACATACTGCAGGCGAGGCCGCCTCAGTGTGGGGTGGAGCCGACTCAGCAGCTCTTGTGCCTGGCTTCTAATAACCCTGCTAATCAGCCCGGAGCGATGCTTGTTACAACTCGGTTACACTGTTGCCGCCGGCGATCCCGGTCTCCTTCCTGGCCGGGCTCTTCCCATTTAGCGGGGCTGCTCTGATTTTTGGCCGGGGGGGAATTAAAATAATTGGCCGGAAAAGGCCATTTCCGTCCGTTGACATGATCGGGAAAGACTCGAGGGGGCGCTGAACGCGGCTCCCTCCCCCGGGCACAGAGCGG